GGGGGGTATATGGACTTCTATACCTAAACGTTCCTATAATTCTTGCCCTGGAGAACTCATCCAGAGTCCTATTCAGGTGGTACTTACTGTAACTCCATCCTGAATAGCCAAGTGTATTACATATTACTTGACTTCTGTTTCCAAAGCTTCAGACAAGAAGGCACACATGGTTGACATGTACTTGAGTGCTATGCCTTTGGATTAGGGTGTATAATTTTATCAATACATTTTGTCATTGTAATCTTCACAAAGACCCTGCTAAAACATTTCTCAATAAACTTATAAACCACTCAAACTACAGCTAGTTCCTGGCAACCCCCACTTTGGGCACAATGATTAGCAAAAATCAAAGAATGGCAATTTCACACGTTTCTCACAGTTTTTGAAAGTTTGGTCCTCCTTGCTTTTTTTTATTTTCCTAATAAGTAATTGTCTCCTCTTCTCCTACCTCCCTCCTCCCCTCCTTTTTCTTCACTTCTTTTACTCTTACACTTCACTCCTTTTATTTATAAACCTAATGGATTCTCCTCAACTTATATACCTTCCCCAAAAAGCCATTAAGCTGTAAAATCTAAAAAGTAACCGTATAAATAAAGATTCATCTCTGCTTTTAATTTGAAGTTTATTTACAATTCTATGGCTATATTGTAAAGTTAATTTTATCATTGTTTTTCAAAGACTGATGTTACCCTGAACTGACTTTGGGTAACCCTTGGGTGGTTTAAATATGCATTATAAGCTGCATTGAAACTCGTTAAAATAATCTTGATATTTATATTTTACTTACGTTCTTTACTAATAATGCATATAAGAATGTATGCAATATACAATAAAAACAATTAGTACTTACTAGCAAAGTATTGCCAAGGGGTGTATGTGTTTCCCAAGTCAGTAGACCTCTCTAGCACCCAAAGATCAGGACGAGGAGAATTGGCAAACTTGATGAGAACATAAGCAACATGGAAGAGCTGAAAATATAAATACAAATATAATGTTCAACTACTGTTGGTCAAGATCAGTACCAATGTTGGCGCATGTCAAATCTAAAATACAAATGTATGCAGATTTCAAGTGTTTAATTAACTGTGCTTTGAGCCCCAGGCTGTTTTCCCCTCCAATTTATTGACCTTATGCATAAAGGTAGCCCCACACTGTTAGAGTTCTCTCATTCAGCCCCATAGGTTCAACAAAAGAAATGATTATATCCTGGATATTGTATTAAGCAGTTACTGCTCCCGTGGCTGCAGAATATCCAAACAGTGCTTGCATCTGATTGGATGCAGGCAATCTTTGGTCAATACATTTTCACCCGGCTACTTAAACAAAAGTTGATTGAAAAAGTGGGTGGTACTTATAGGGCCATAGCTCAAATTGCAGACAGTTAAGCAGGAAGTAGCCACAATTCGCGCTGTGGGTGGTCAACATGAGGGTCAGCATATACATACATTTGTGTTTTGGTCCTGACACAGGTTGATGAGGTATTTCTGCAGAATTGGGAATGCAGTGTTTGAATTTCTGTTTGGATTTTATGCAGCCACATACTCTTTCCAAATTGCATTATGAGAAAATATAACTATTCGGGTTATAATGGAATCAGACATGTGAATATCTTCTGTTCTAAAAAGACTACAAATTGTGTTATGTAATAATGTCCCAGATAAATCTAGCAAATACAGTTTTCGCTTTTTAAGTTGCTGGCTGGATGTTGCATAGCATACTTCATATCATGTTGCATATATTGTATAGCATACTGCATATTACACAGGACAATTTGACCTAATCAGCTTGGTTTCCACTCTACTGGCTATTCAAAAGTAAAAGAGGTGCTTAAGAACAGGCATGCTGTTACTACTCTTGTCCAGAAACCTCCTATATGCTCCATCTGAGATTATTTCACTTAGCCCTTGGCAATGTACTGTATGCCTAATCATCCATGTGCTAAGTCTTGCTCTCTTGCTGACCGCGATCCAATGAAAGTGCCTGGCTGGCGAATTAAGTACTCTATATGAACAGGGCTATTGGGTTGGAGATTAGCAGCACAGTTTGGTTGGAGCCTAGGCCCCAAGCTAAGAAACAGCAGAGTGAAAAATCTCATAGGAGGATTATTTGCCCAAGAGACAGGTTAAGTCCATTTAAAATTGATGTTGTCTTTCTTTTCTTGGGCACATCAAAAGTGACACAACATTTCCAGATGTTTGTTGGGTCACGCAGCCAATGGAATTTTTCTGGGAGCAGCACTCCCAATCTTTTTATTCCCAATCTTTTACCTTGCAGAGCTTCAATTTAAGAAAGACTTACAGCTTGGTAGCCTCAAAGACTATAATGTGTAATAACATATGGACTTATTGGTGATTTTAAAAAACTTTTTCTACTAACTGGTTTACCTGACCTATTGCAGTTTCATTAAACATCAAAGTCATTTGTATTTATTCTTCTGTGTCTGAAAACCTTGGTCAGTGTAAATGTTTAGGCTGCAATATTATAGGTATTCTTTTCTATTATGTTTTTCTTAACATCTTTTTTCGCGACAGTTCTCCAGTGGTCTTTTTTTTTTCACCTGTTTACTTTATTCTTCTTTCTCTCTGTCCCTTTGATCAATGGCATTTGCTACGTAATACCTCTTTAATTTGTTATAAGCCTTAAAGCTTTCTGAACGATAGGTCTTGCTTATTTTTACTATTTGTTTTATTTACTCTATACAATGTATTATGACATTGTTACTACTACATTGCTACATCTGCTGATTTGTTAAAGAATATGAAAAACCTTTAAAAAAATCCCATTATGTGTAAATACTGTGTAGTGGAAAATTGGAATATATAGTTTGTTATCAGTGCAATCATTCCTGCTTACTAGTGTCATAAATAGAGATATATTATCTTCATATGAAAAGCCAGGTATGTAGGTCACGGGTTCAGTCAGTAAGGGAACAAGAAACAAAGAAAGTACACTAACCTATAACTACTAATGCAAAATTGTCTTATTTTCTACACTCCGACTTTGATAAATTGATAAATTGGTTACTACTGGTTGCTGCATCCTTGTACTTAAAGGAAAAGTCCAATTTAATTAAAAAATATATATATATCAACTCTTAGCAAGCATGTGAAGCAAAAACGGAGCACTGTATCTCCAAGAGAAAGAAAACAGCCTAACCTCCTTGAGGCAGATGCATTGTTACTATCTTCAGTGATCTGCATACCTATTAGAGTCAAGCATATACACTGAGCTGGAGATTAAGAAGACAGAGTATGCCCTCGGAGAATAATGGATCTATGGAGCACCAGAGCTGGCAGACACTAGGTTGTTGCTTGAGGGTTTTTAGTGTGTGTGGAATAGGGACATAATGACTTACTTAATAAAGCAATAGGTTTGCTTTCACCCCGCACCCCACCACTATCACCACCACCACAGCAGCACATACTTTAATCCCTGGACATTCTGAGCTGCTGCCAGGAGCAAAGGTAACAAAGGAAATACCAGGTACTTATGGGTATGGAGGACCCACTTGCCTCAGGATAGGACCCACTTGCCTTATGGGTATGGAGGACCCACGTGTCTCACTTCACAGGAAAGCTCTGAGCCAATCACCAAGCACCAGTACTGTCACAGTGTAAACCATGGCTTAAGCGATTTGCACTGGGAGGCTTCTACTGCTACTAATAGCCAAACACAGTGACAGGCAATGAAGGAAAGGTGAATATGTGCTACATGGGCAAATCACTGATTCTCCTTACTGCCATGTTCTGAATGCCTGAGAACAAACTGGCTGCAGTTCTTCCCTCTGGGGGCTCTATCCAAAACTTGCTGGAGTCTCACTTTAAATCCATTTATTCTTCTAGTCTGGCTTTGAGGTAATGGCCCCTGATGCCACTCTATGCATAAGAATAAGGCACAGATAAGGGTCACCAGCCCATTCTATATTAAGACAGGGAAGGAAAAAAGATCTTAAAGCATACAGATATAAAAGGCTCAAATGAATGCAGCTCTGTAATCAGTAATACATCATTACATGCATTTTTTTAATGCAAGCAGTATAAGTACCTAAATTTGATATTGTATCAGCCTCTTGCGGTCCCGGTACAGCAGGGCTGAAGTGTGAGAGAAAAAAGCAGAACAAGGAGCCAGACAGTTCAGGTGCTGGCAATAAGCATGTTGATAGAAGGAGAAAGCAGAGTGACAGAGCTCATCACTGTGTTGCTTCTCCTTTTACTGTCTAGCCGCAGACTAGGACAATCCAGGATGACCTGAGCTCAGAGGTAATGGGTTATGTGATGCTGGCCATCAGACAGAGGGCATTTAGCATCAGAAATAAGTACTAAAGAAAGAAATGTCTGGATTAAAGCTGACTATCGCAGCAAAAAGTTGGTTTTGTTAGTTTATCTTTAATTGGCGATCATCTTTAACTTGTTATGTTAGGCAAGAGTTTAGCTTTAACCAGTGCACCACCACTGTGGAGGGAGAAAGAAAGATTTACTCCAACAAGTACAGGATTCCGAGCAGTTCAAACCATGAACTGGATAATTTCTACAAAAAGAAAAAAAGTGATATATATTCCACTGAGTTACCCGAATATTGCCTGTCATGTGCTAGAACACAAGCGTCCACAAAATGTTTGACTGTATGATGCCCTGTGCCACATTTGAAGTCTCACTGTGCGGTGTCGTGACCTAAAATTGGTTTGGACCCACTGAGCTAAACATTGAGCATGTAACAGCGGCATACACCTGGTAGCAGGCTCCTGATTTAATTTACAAGGTAACACCCAGCCAAGAGGAACATGTTTGGAATAGCATGGCATTGAGCCAACAGTAAAATGTTGCTGTGCTGATTCATGTTCTTACTTGAGTTTGCTAGTATAAAGTAGTCATGCAACAATCACGCTGCTGCCAAACATCAAACAGGCTCCTAGAGCCAGGGCATAAAACATTTATAAATGACAAAATGTGCCCTCAAGTAGAAAGAGCCACACTGTAGGCACACGAAATATCAATCTCTGTTTTAACATTAAATATTTAAAAAAGTCTAAAAGCTAAATACAGCAAAATATCAAATTAAAAGAAACAACACACCATGAAAGCCCATAAATAAAGCTAGAGGCATATTGATAAATACTTTGGCAAATCCATTCACATTTGCAATACCAGATTAGCTGTAAATTTGATGACACTGGCTGGCAAATGTGCTGTTGGTAAATGTTACAGCAAGCAAAATCTAGGGAATAGTCAATGTACAGTAAGGCAGTTTTAGTGTTTCAGTGGTGAATCTGCATTCAATGTTTATGTTTTTCAGTCCAAGTACTGAACCTAAACACAGGTTAAGCACCCTGGACAGAGTTAGCGCTATAGAACAAGAAATATGAATGGCGAAAGTCCTGTGAAGATGACATTCACTGGGTTGAAAATTGGGTAAGTTGTATAGTGAGAAATATTTTAAGTAAGGTTAAGTAAGGTTCTATAGAGGGCTGTGTGGACTCTAAGGTGGCTGTGCGGGATCTATGTTGGGCTGTGCGGACTCTCAAGTGGGCTGTGCTGGATCTATGCTGGGCTGTGCGGACTCTCAAGTGGGCTGTGCTGGGTTTATATTGGGCAGTGCTGGGTCTAAGGCGGGCTGTGCAGTCTCAACAGGGGTCCCAGTCGGTCTTGGTGGGTGTGGGCAGAGTGGATTCACAGTAAGGAGGAGATTTGTTGCCAGTGCTGTAAACAGGAAGGCTTCAGAGGAAGGCTGCCAGGACCTTGCTGGGTATAGGCGCTTAGTATCGGGGGAACTTTCAGGAGTACAAGTACTTGTCAAAATGCCCAGAATCGGCACTGATACTGGTATTGGTGCATCCCTAGTTAGTATATCCAAAGTGTTCTCTCACGCTCTCTCCTGCCGACTGCTGAGACGAGGTGAGGGCAGAGATGAGGGGGGTGCGAGGGCCACGTGAAATGGCCAGGCTGGCCTTGTGTTTCACACGTGGTCTACA